TGTCTTGAAAAAGTCAAGAGCTGGAGACAGGAGAGGGGAGGAGAAACCAGATAATTAATGATCCTTGGTAGATGGGTCCTGATTAACGGGCCCTGATGCTCTGTAGTTGTCTATTTTCCTTGCTTTCCCCTCTTCTCAACCAATACAATCTGGTTTGAGGATTCACCAAGAGCCTCCGTTATTTAAGTTTCATATGTAATCAATTCCCCAAGATTTGCCCTTTTTCTTGCTGTATTCTCAGCCTGGCAACCACTTACAAGCCTCCTGCCATGTGCCAGCTTCCCGGGAGGCACTGCCAGGCATGCAGAAATGGGCTAGGCGGAATCGCTGCCCACATGTGGCAGCAGGGATGGGAAGTGCTGCCCCGGTCTAAGTTCTGCACAAGCTCTACGTCACTGGTGGCCCCAGAGTCAAGCAGGAAATGAACAGTGACTGTGCGGAGGGCCAGACTTTGGGGCTGAGAAGAGGGCAGCCCCAGGTGGGGGACTTGGAGGAGGGGTAGCTTCTGTTCGGGCACCAGAGGGCGTGACTTTCCCGAGGGTGACCCTGATTACTGTTGCTGAGCTTTTGGGGGATGTGTGCGTGCTGTCCCCATTACTCCTTAGAACCCAGACCCACAAACTTTTTCAGAGAAGAGCTAGGGAGTAAATATTTGAGAAATATTTGAGGTTTTGTGGCCTGAAGGTCTTTGTCACAACTGCTCAACTTGGCGCTGGTGGCATAAAAGCAGCCAGAGACCACAAATGGACAGGGATTGTGTCCCATGGAGGTCTACAAAAACAGGTGGTCAACTGGCATTAGCCTGGCTCACCATTTGCTGCCTCTACCTTATAATATATTTAATATAATCCCCACTGTATGGAGGATAAAACAGGAATAGAAAGATGATTAGACATTAACTTGTCCGGGGCCAGACTGTGTGTCTACCTCCCCCACACAGTGACCATTGCGAGGGTCAGGTGCATTCTGGGAAAGAGCAGATGGAGGGACCACCTTGAGTCACAGTGTAAAAAGGTTGCCTTTAATTCACTGGACAGTGGGGAGCCATTGAAGACTGAGCAGCAGTTAGATTAGAGCTGAGATCTGGGAAGATTTATTTGGCAGTGGTATATAGGTAGATTAAAATTGGGGTTTTTTGTGTGTGAAGTTGTTGTTTTTTAGTTTTAGTTTTAGTTTTTTTGAAACAGTGTTTTGCTATGCAGTTCAGGCTGGCTTTGAACTCACTATGTAACCCAGGCTGGTCTTGAACTTGAGGGGATCCACTTGCCTCAGCCTCCCAAGTGCTGAGATTACAAGTGTGCACCGAGACACCCTGCTGGCCGATTAAAGTTGAGAGAGGAGTTCTTGTCTCAGAGGAGAGAGGGCCATTTTGGCCAGAGCCATATCTGGTTACTATAGCCTTTGAAAATTCTCTTTTACCTCATACTGCTTGGCATTACCATGGTTCCATATTGGATGTGTGCACTCATGTGTGTGTGTGTGTGCTTGTATGTGTGTGTGTGTGTGTGTGCGAATGTGTACATATTTGCTGAAAGATGTTGACTTAACCTGTTTCCAGCTGTATTTTGCAGACTCACATAGAGACCTAGTTTTAGAGACTGCACATCTGTTTGAAAAAACCTTTACTCTCTCAGAAAGGAGAGGGCTGGATGCTCAGCAGCACCCTCGTCTGGCTCTGCTTCCACTCAGCTATGCTCCTGGTGCACATGGCTCTAATCCTTGGGATGTTTCATGGTTCCATGTGAACTGTGAAGCCTTGCTCTATGTACCAGCCTGGCCAGTTTCTGGCCGGCTTTTCTTTTACACTCTGCCATACTCTGTGATTCCAAGTGGAGGATATTCCAAACTCTTGACATTTTGCTGTGAGTAGGAGAAGAAATCCTTGAGTCATTCGTGCCCTGGGTATTCAGGGTAAAGTCTGTAGCAGGTTTCATTATGGCCCATTTAATGATGCTGGTGGTAAAAATTTCTAATGTTAGCTTTTATTCCCTGAACCTTAGCATGTGCCAGGGTTCTGTGTCCTTTCTGTACATGAGCTCATCTCATCTTCATAATAGCCCAGTGACGTCGACATTATCATCACATTCTTGCAAATGAGGGCATTTTGGCCAAAGGGCACAGAGGCAATTGGCAGGGAGCACAGCCGCCAAGAGTCAAAGCAAGTTCAGAGTCCTCTTTGCCACCCTCCTGCTCTGCATCTGCTTCCTGAGCCCCGACGTCAGTCACACCAGGAGTCCCATACAGCCCCTCCCTGAGTCTCACCACCACCCTCGAAGGTAGGCCTCTTCTTGCCCATTTTACAGGCAAAAAACCAAAGAGTTGGGGACTTATCCAGGGCATTCATATAGCAAGGTATTGAACTAGATTTGGATTTTGATGTTTTGATTTTAATTCTTTAGGCAAGACCACAGTGGAATAGAGGAGTGAACTTCCAATCAGTAGGAAGGTTGGGTGGGTGCGTTACCTGACCAAGATTTGTATTTTATTCTGAGAGGCAGTGTTGCACAATGTCTGAGGGATTCAGGAATAAGTCAGCCTGGGCTTGCCACTTACTAGGACCTTGGGCAAGTTATTTTGTATCTCTGCCCCTCGGTTTTCTTTTCTGAAAAGGGGACACAAGAATAGTAGCATAGAATGATGATTAGAGGAATAATATGTGTAAAATGGTTAGGCCAGTTCTCAATATGCAGTAGGCACTTGTGTTCACTGGTATTTATCAAGGCCTTGCTCTGAATAAATCACTTTTTTCCAAATTTGTAGTATCACTTGGTCCTCTTAATAATTGATGAGTAAATAGTGTTGATTTCATTTTATAGATAAGAAAACAGCCTCAGAGAGGTTTAGTAGCTCACCTGAGCTATCCATGCATTCATTCTCAGGTATTGTCTTAGTCACTGTCGTCATTGTTGAGACCCCATACCCAGCAGCCACAAGTTCAAGGAGGAGAGGTTTATTTTGGCTCATGGTTACCGTCCATGGTTGGCTGGCTCCAAAAAACAACATCACAGAGGGGTATGGTGGGAGGAGAGCTGCTCGTGTCAGAAGAGAGATCAAGGGAGGTGCTGGGGAGGGAGATAAATCCTTCTGGGTCATATCCACAGTGACCCACCCCTTCCAACCAGACTCCGCCTCCTAACAGCAAGTCAGGTATAAGCCCCCGTAATCCAATCACCTTCTCAAAGCCCCATCTTTGAGTACATGAGGCTTTGGGAGAACATCCAGCAATAAACCATAACAAGCACACATTGAGAAACACTAATGTGTTTGTGCCATTGTAGGTACTTGAACAAAACAGACCCAAATCCCTATCTTTATGGGGGCTGCAGAACTGGACCTTGAACCTAGCTCTGCCTCTTTTCCTTTGAATATTTTTCTCCTTTTCTCTCTCTCTGTCTTCACAATTTCATGTGGTGATTGTTTAGGGAATTTCAGGTTGGCCGTTTGTAGTTATCCAGGTGGCATTCCACTTCCTTAGCTGTCTCCATGCATATCAAATTGCAAATGATCTGATTTGCTAGATTTTTGATCTTTGACAACTTGAGAGGAGCCTCATGTGGATTTAAGGACCAGATAGATACCTGGGATGAGGTGTGGAATAGGACCCAGCCATGAGTGCCTCTTCCTCCAGTGGGACCCTGCAGAGCTTCTAGATGGGGTGGGGGTGTGGACAGGAGATGTCACTTGCGCCTCTGAGGTAGAATGTGCAGCTTTGCCTTGTCTCTTCATGACATCCTGTACCCAGGAGGAGTAGCCAGAGATACTACCTCTCAGAAAGACCTGGCTCCTGGCCCCACTGCAGGAGCCTTGAGGGGCAGCACCCCATTGTATGAGATCACTCTGGGGAAGAAAGGACTGAGGGCAAGAGCTGAGCAGAGAAGTGTCCCCTGGTCTGTGAGTTATGTGGATATGCAGAACGAGCACCTCACCGTTTTAGTGTAGGCAGCGTATGGATTGCTATATGGAACTATTGCTTCTGACCATGGTGGGGGGGAAGTTCTCTTTTTGAGCAGTGATTTGTTCCTGTCACTTTTCACATGTCCCTGTGCACACCCCCACCTCCTCTATGAGCCCAGAAATCTACATGTGAAACTTAGCCTTCAAAAGCAACGGGAGGTGTTCTGCTCCATTCTGTTTGTTTGTTTGTCTCTGTTCTGTTTGTCTGTGGCTTTCACAGTTGGGGAGAAAGTTTTGAGACCAAGGTTTTCTTGTGCTCCTTGGCCTGCTTGGAAACAAATCTTCCTTTACTCTCATGATTTTGTGACCAAGAAGAGCAGTCTAATGTGTTCCCCAGGAGATCTGCTCTCCTGGTTCCACGGGTGACCCAGGTTTTGTTTTTCTGGGGTGCTGTGTACGCAGATGTTATGTTTAAAGATGTGGAATTTGCTGGGTTTTGTCCACAGAATCCCAACAGGGGAAATGATGCCTGGCCTTTGAATTAAACTGATGAGATTTGAGGTTAAGGTGAGGCCGTCAGTAACTCCACCCACACAGGAGTAATTGAAGGCACTCTGTGCTTTCCTATCTGGTTTCTTTGCAGGGCACCCAGGCTCCTGAGAACTTGGCTGGCTCAGTAGCCCTTCTTACCCTGAAAGGCTCATGAAAAGATGCCCATTGGGTGGTAACCTCCCCATATGGTTTCCCCATAAAGAGGAAAAGATGAGAAGGGGTGGAGGAGACTGCGCCTGTGTTTAGAGCCACAGCCTCTCCAAGCCGGCTGGCAGGCTGTTTAGTTCCTTGTCTCCTGTCCTTTTCAGGCCCTGCATGTTTTGAAGCTTTCTTTAGCTTTTCCCCAGCTTTGACGGCAGCTCTCTCAATAGGCGGCAGCCCAGCCATGGTGAGCTGAATGCCCAGTCTACACAATACCCTGAATTTTAATGGTGGCGGCTGGTCCTCGAAAGCTCCCTGTGGCTGCTGCTCCCAAGCCCCAGCTTAGCAGCTGCCTCAGACCCCGAAATGGGCTCTGGCTGGATTCCTGAAGTTGCCTCTTTGCTTTTTTACAGATCTACACGGACTGGGCCAATCACTATCTAGCCAAATCTGGCCACAAACGTCTCATCAAGGATCTCCAGCAAGATGTGACCGACGGCGTCCTCCTGGCCCAGATCATCCAGGTCGTGGGTAAGAGTGCGTTTTTCCTGCAGGGCTGATAACTCAGAGCAGAGCAGAGCCAGCCACGGGGGTTGCATAGGCCTAGGAGAGGACACTGAAGTCTCAAAAGAGACAAAGTGTTGCTGTCCCATATGTGGACAGCCACTTGTGTGGGGACAACTTGCTTTTCCTGTTGAGATCATAGACCCAGCAATCCCACCATGATCCTCTTAGAGGAAAGACTGCCAGGGGCCAGAGAAAAATGCCTATGATTTGGGGGTGGCGTGCTCTGACCCCTTTTTGCCTCCTACTATCTTTCCGGTTCTCTCCTTTTTCCCTGCTGATGGTACTTTTTTGTGTGAATGCCTAGAAATATTGAGAGAGAGAGAGACAGCCAGAAGCCACCATGAGGCTGGTTTAATCTTGCCAATTCTAACTGTGTCTGAGAGATCAAAGGCTAGAACTACAGAGAGGGTCGGTCAGTTCTGGTTTACTACTAGGGGAAGGGGACTTGGGCAGTGGGATTTTTAAGGCCTTAGCCAGGATCTGGGATGAGAGAGCCCCTCCTGAGCAAGCAGGCAGGTAGGTGCTGGCCATAGCTTGGGCCTGAAGCGACACAGCCCTGGTCCTGCCTGAGAGCTCGGAGCAGATGAGGAGGGAGGCCAGTTAGACGGCATTAGACTGACTGTTGTCGCTGGTAGCAGACTCCTGCCAGGTCTAGGCACAGGGAGAGGCTGGAAACTCCAGCCCCTCTGGCATGTGCTGTTGCAGAGAAGTCGCCTTTCCTTCAAGTGTGAGCAGTCGCCTTTGCAGTTGTTGCAATGGCAGGCCCATGAAATTCAAGTTAGCTGTCAAATATGCAATGTGTTGGAAACTATGGTGTGTTCCTGGATAGCACTGGGTAGCAGCTGCCTCAGAAGATATGCGCGGAAGGATGTGGAGGTTTCAGTGTCCATGTCAGTGTCGGTGTGTGCCATCATAGGTTGATTAGTCATGTCTGCCATGGCTGCACTGGAAATTTACTGAACACGATTCTGTCACTGCTCAAGGGGATGTTTCCCTGCATCTGTTCAGACTAAAGCCCCTCCCTAAACAGGAACTCCCCGAAACCAAGCTACTGACTTGTGCTTCCAAAGTCTCAGGATGGTGCTAGTTGTATATCCCTTATTCAAAATGCTTGGGAGCAAAAGTGTTTCAGACTTCAGACTTTTTCAGATAATTTGCTTTTATGGAATGGGCTATCTTACTTAGGAAGTTCAACTCTAAACATGAAATTCTGTTGTGTTTCACATATGTCGTATACACTTAGACCAAAGGTAACTTTATACGATATTTTAAATAGTTTTCTTCCTGAAACAAAAGTTTCACAGTGTGGAATTTTCTGCCTGCAGTGTCAAGTAGAGGCTCAAAATGTTTCACATTTTGCACTGGATGTGGTGGTCCATGCCTGAAATCCCAACACCAGGGATGTTGACCACTGTGGAAACCTTGATTTCAATCCCCAGTATTACCAAAAAAAAGCTTCAGATTTTGGGATACTTAGACTTTCAGATCAGAGAAGCTCGTCCCATACCAGCAGACCAGGCTGTACCTCAGGCCACCATGTTGTTCCCCTCAGCATCTAAGGGAGCTAAGAAAGCATCAAATTGTTCCTAGATCGTCTCTCCCAGTTCAGAACATCTAATCTAGAGTATCCTGTGAATGCAGACCTTTGGGGAAGGGGCACCCTTTCTGATCAGAAAGCTGAAGTATTGACCAACCATCCAGTCCTCTTCCCCTATATGTACGCTCATCAAAAGAATATGTACACTGATATATTTGTATGTGCACAGGTACTCAGTATATACACATATATTTGCATATGGACATCTAAGTATTGTCTATATAACATTTTTTGCAGAATTAGAGTCCTACTGACTCCGCCTTGTGCTGGGCAGAATTCTACTTGTTCTTTGGCTGGTGAGCTCCTACTCATTCCAAAAACTCAGTTTCTCTCTGGTACCTTTCCTGGCATTTGCATGGTCTCCAAACCTCTCTCCACTGGTTGCTTGTTGGTCGCGATGGGAAATATAATAACCATGAAGGGGAATACCCAGGCCACCTCAGGACCAGATGATCTAGTTTCCATCATTGGTGAGGGATAGATGGAAGTCATGTGCTTCCTAAAGTGATCAGGGATGGAAAACCTGTAACAAATCAGTCATGAGGAATCTCAGACAAACCCATTCTGTTAAAAACAACAAAATTGGCTTGTATTGTTCAAAGGCAGCAGTGTCATGAAAGACAAAGTCTGAAAAGCTGTTCCAGAATAAAGGAAATGAAAGAGATGTGACAACTGAACGCACTACTCGGCCCAGAACTGCATCCTGGACAGGGGAATAAAAAGCTGTAAGGAATGTTTTTAAGTCAGTTGGCAAAATTGGAATATTGGCATTGTGTCAGTATTAGATTTTCTGAACTCTGTAACTGTACCTTGGGAGATAATATATTTGTGCTTTGGAAATAGGCACTAAAAGGTAAAGGGCAAAGGGCATGATGTATGTAGCTTACCCTGAAAAGGTTCAGAAAAGAAACATTACATGTGGACCTATCCAGAGGAAGAGAGAGCGGCCAGAGGGAGAGAGAAAATAGGACCAAGGTGTATGGGAAAGCTGTGTTCTAGTCCTATTATTTTTCCCGAAGTAAGTTTGATTACTTCAAAATAAGAAGCTTCAGTGAAAACGTGTCAGTGAAGGCCAACAAAACCTGCAGGTAGAACGTGGCCCTGCTAAGCATCATGCATTGTGGTCAAGGCCTCGTGCTCCGCAAGTGCTGCCCCACGATGGACCGCAGAGCAGGGAGGGGGGATGTGGGGGAGTTTACTTTACAGTAGGAGCTCGCTGGGCCTGGTGGGCAGGGAAGGCACCCCCAGTGGAGCAGACAGTGTACGGAAGGGCTAGAGGGGGGAGTTAGGGAGTTAAGACAAAATCAGGGCCACTGTGGACATGCAGTGAATCCAGTTGATTTCCAGACTGGGAGGTGGCATCAGATGTGTAACCTGAAGGAAAACCCTAAGTGCTTTTCCCATATGCTTCTCCCAAGTCCCTATCTGTCCTAGACACCCTCTGGCCAGCTTTCCTAGAGGGTGAGCTGTCTGGGGCTCACACTTTTCTGTTGCAGCTCTCTGCCCACGGGGGGAAATGCGCCTTTCAGTGCTGCCTTTGAGCACCCGTCCTTAGGTGGCCGGGGGCTGTGGTTCTGCATTCAGCCTCTTGTTGCTGTGATTATCTTCCTGAGATGTGAGCCAGGCCGTTGCAGTGCCATCCCCATGAGTTATCCGGAAAGTCTACAAGGCCAAGATATGCAGTGTGAAGGCAGGGGACACCTTCTGCTCACACTGGGGTCACTCAGGGAAGATGCCAGAAGGGGGTGGAGGGAGAGAAGGAGGAAATACGAGAGAGATGAGAAGAAAGACAAGGGAGAGGGAAGGAAGTGAATGAACAAGTGAGAGTTGGAGAGGGAGTGAAGTGGGGGAGACTGCCTTCAACTCGTGGGACCATACCTTCTCTCATCAATGACTTGCTGCCATTGTGTGACCTTGGGTAAGTCATTCATCCTTCGGGGCAGCCAGTGCCTCTCTCCCCACTGGCAGGTCTGCTGGCAGCCAGGGATGATGATGTGGTAGATGATACACAGGCCATTAACATGCTCTGCATCCTTTGAGGGAGGTCTTTGGAAAAGTAATGAGATTGATGCCACTGTTTGTATTTAAGAAGTGCATTGATGGTTTCAATCCCTAACTTGTCACCTTGTATGCAGACAGCTCACTGCATTAGCAGGCTAAGAATGTCTTGAATGTGCTTGGATAAATTGCCATTTGCTCTTGAGATGCCAGTTTTAATCACGATCAAGGACTCTGGTGACAGATGACTTTTGCTCCTTTGATTAGCTGCTTTTGGGGTTCAGCCAAAGACCCACTACCCTGAGTTAAAAAATTTGGCTCTGAGGATCCAGCTCTTCATGTTTATCAACAGAATCAGAGCTGCTGTTAGTGCTGTTAAGTATTTATGACAACCATAGGAATTCTTGGGAATTTAAGTAAAGGAGAAAGCATTTAAATTATATGAAATTGGAATCAAAGAGGCCCAGGATTTATTTTGCATTTTTATTAAGCATTTAGTTTGTGTCTGGTTTACCCATTTAATTTTCCTCTTGCCCTCTTCCTTTTGGAGTGGTCATAAGTACGTTCTACCCCTTTGGTTTATTTTGACTGTTGTAAAATGGCAACATTTTTAGTATATGTGCTGGAAGCGAGCATGTAAAACGGCAGCATGGAGCTGTGATGTTTCTATTCACAGAGCACCTGACTGGATTTAGGTGACAGGCCATTAAAAAGAATTGGGAAAGTAATTAGACTGAGCCCTTTGGTTTCATTTATTCGGATGGTACATGAAGAATCTTTAAAATTTCCCAAATGACTTCTTAGGATGATAGCTATCCACCCTTCACTGCAGTGAGCACTGAGAAGGACCCAGTGCTGAACTAGGTTCTGATCAGAACCCAGTGGCTTATGACTCTGACCACAGTGAATATCTAGTTGAAAGATACGTCAGTACCTTATGAACCACCTATTTGTTCTCTGTAGTGTTGTGTTACGTCTGCCATAATTTCCCATGGATGGAGGAATACTCTTTGTCAAGGGTATTCATTTTTTCCTGTCTTTAGTATGTACGTCACTATTTATCACTGAAAGGACAGCTGTCTCAAAATTGGCCATAAGCCCCGATTCATTGAAATGTTCAGGATATTCCTTCCATAGTTCTACTCAACAACCATTTATTGAGTGGCTTAGGTGCTAGGCTCAGGCCTAAGCTCTGAAATTATAGTACAAAACCAAGTAGAGAAAAATCTCAGTTATGGAGTTTACATGCTGACAGTATGTTCTGCATAACTGTATTTCCTGGTGAATTGGAGGCCAAATATGCAATGAGTTATCACATCTTCCTTCCTTCCTTCCTTCATACCCATTCCTTCCTTCCTTCCATCCATCTGTCCTTCTTTTCTTCCTCTTGTCCTTCCTGTTTTCTCTCCCCTTTCTCCTTCCCTCCCTCTTTCTCCTCCTTCCTTCTCTTCTCTTCCCTCCCCCTTTCTCCCCACTGAAGATGGAACTCAGGGCTGCCCTTTGCCCATATTTTGTATGTTTTAGGGACCTCCTTTGGGAATAAGACTTGCAAAAATTCCTGTCCCACCCAGAGTTGTTACATTAAGCAGAATTGAGAAAGCTGAACTGAATCTCAAAGATTGGGAGTTCCCAGGTGGGTCATAAATGTGAACAATAGATGCTTTAGGCAGGCGCTAAAGATGGTATAGATCAAGCTGAATATATACTAACCAGGCAATTTGATTTGTAGGCAATTCCCTTCCATTAGCTTGCTTTCATATTTTATGCTTTCTCTCTAGGTAGAAACACTAGAGAAAAAAATAAACTCAATTTGAGATCATGGTGAGCTCAGGTGTTTCCCAATTTTGGAGGCCTGGGATACTTGGATTCTGTTATCCTTTTCAGACAGTTTTTAATGCCTTTCCATGAAAGTTTTATCCTCTACATTCATAAGAATCTGATGTGATTTGGGGGGCAGTTGAGGAGGAATTCAATTTTGCAAGCAGTTGTTGAACTCTAAGGATACAAATGTGAAAGTAAGCTACACTTGTCTTCCAGCTCCCGCAGCCTGGTTAAGGAGACAAGATGGGGTACTATGTCTTAGATAACAGATTGGGGTGCGTCTCCCTCTTAGGAGAGGCAGCTGTGGGTGCTGGGAGACAGAGGCCTGTGTGCGCCTCATCCTTCTTTGGGCGAGGGCATGAGGTGGGGACATGGGATTGGGGAGGGAGTTTACAAAGCCTGCAGAGGATGTGAGTCTTCAGTCTTCCCTCTGGAGTCCTAGCTGAGTTCCTGCGTTTAACTCACATGGACACATCAAAAAGAAAGTATTTCTTGTGTATGTTTTCTCTAAATGATAGGAATTATTAAATTAATGATACTAACAGAGTGCACCCACTGTGTGCTAAGCACAGTTGCTGCATGTGCTGTCATATCATCTAGTTCTCATTGCTTCTCCAAGGCAGATCGCATTAGCTTCATTTTATAATGAGGAAACTGAGGCCCAGAGAGATTGCGTGATGTGGCTCTAGACCTGGCATTCAGGCTGGGGCATCTTTTCCTCCAAAGCCAACCCTCTCGCTTCCATACCCACCGCTTCTCTGGCCTGGCTGCTCTCAAACTCAGTGTCTACACAGATCTCTTTCCCTGTGTCTGGTGGGGGATCGCCCCATACTTAGCAGGGACTGTGCTCACTCTGAGATGTCGGGCCATTCCTCCTCCTATTTAAACTTCATTTCCTGTGAATTGCATGCAACCTCTTCCTGTCATATCTTTTAGCAACTAGGTACTATTTCCATGCAATTCCCTTATATATTGTGGATTCACTCACTATGTAGCCTTGGCCAAAGCATTTTTGATGCTCCTTCTCTCTCTTTTTCTGTCTCTCTGTCTCTGTCTCTCTGTGTCTGTCTGTCTGTCTCTCTCTCTCTCTCCTTGCTTTGGGAATAGTACTAGGACACACAAAAGCAGTAGTTGTACTTCTGGCTAAAGATGCAGTGAGCTGCTTTCATTTGTCACATCTGTCCCCGGGAGTGGGCGTAGCTGGACTGACCCTCTAAATTGTCCCATCTTTCATGGGGAGGCTGCAGTGACGTATGCCTAAGAGCACAAAGCACACTTGCAGATTACTCTTAAGTCCCCAAACATTGCCACGATGGCCTGTCACTGCAGGACAGTCATCAACACAGTTGTCTCTGTTTTAAGTCCTGACGACCTTGCCCCAGCTGTCCCTGGAGGACGGTGGCTCGATGACTAAGTCCTGAAGCTTGCTAGATGTGTGTCAGGATACCACATGCCTGCGTTGATTGGACAGACCCCAGCATGGGCTTCAGGACTCGGTTGGCCTGAAGTATCCTGACCATCACGACTGGAAGTGTGTCTCTGATGATTATTCGGTTTCCTGATTTATATTTCCTTTTTCAGCAAATGAAAAGATTGAAGACATCAATGGCTGCCCAAAGAACAGATCGCAAATGGTGAGTGGTACTGTGGGGTGAGGGTTTGTGTTGTTAGCAACCTGCCTGTAAGTGAGACTGACCGTTTGAAAAACACTCACACCAGGTGCTTTATTATATTAATAACCTAGCAGGCATTTCCAAATAGCCGTGCTCGGCTTCTCTGACATTTGTTGGCATTTATTGAAAAATGGCTGTGAGTTTTTCATAGACTGTGAGACAGCAAAAATGAAATATTGCCCTGGCTCTTGGACACAGATGATGCAGAACTGGTATGAACATACCCATGTGGTGAAATGACTCTAAGACTCCTCACAATTACTGTTTGTATGCGTTGCTGAGGCTCCGAGGAGGCGATGGTATCTCGCTGATCTCAATCAGGGCAGGTGGTCTGATTGCCCTTAAAGGTTGCAGTGATGTGAAATCGGAACTGTAACAGCAAATGTGAAATGTACAGTCGCATCTGGAGCCTTCTCGTAGTCACGCTGACAAATGACATCCTTACTGGTGTAATGGATTTAAGCTATGATATTATACCTTTACGTGCAACCAGACTTGTCTTTGAAATCGGTTCTTTTCTTGTGCTACACATAATCTGTGATTTAAAATTCGTGATCGTTGTTGAGTTTGGAAAACGTTGCATTGTGATGCTCCGAGTGCTGTTCACTTCCAAACATTTTTTTCAACATGAATATTTACACAAAAATTTATTTTATCCAAGTTTCTTTAGATGACACTGATACTTTTTTAAAATATGAAGGTGACCACTTAAGGCAAGTTTTGGTTGGACGTTTGTTGATTCTAGAATTCTAAAAAGGGGCATAATTTATTTCTGTAACCTACCCTCCTTTGAGTAGGCACAACTTCTTCATTTCAGAAGAAACCGAAGTGATTGGCATTCCTTGGGTTCACTGGTTAATTTTCTGAATTGTTTTCCCAAAGACTTGGCCAGAGATGCAACCTTTTCAGACAGCTCTTTTTTGTGTACAACAGTGGTTTTATTATAAAAGGTTGGCTTGTGTAGGGAAGTCATTTTCCAGTTTACTTTCTAAAACAAGCTTCTCTTTTTTTTTGCTGTTATTCTGCTGGAGGCTCTGTTTCTTTCTGTTTGATCTAGAGACCAACCATCCTTTCCATAGGAAAGTCCCCAGCAGACATCTCATGGCTGCTTTGCCTTCTGGAAAAGCATGGCTGCTATTTTTGCTAGGGCTACTGCAGCTGTCCAGTATATTAATAATTGAGAAAATTTGGATGATAGAAGACTTAATTTTAGTGCAGGCATTTTGCACATGCAGTAATATCTTCATATGAAAAAGGTGCATTATTTCCCTTCAGGATAGATGTGGGAGCATTTGTTGTAGCTTATTTTAATGCATACATAGGACTGGGGCTTGAGGGTAGTCAGCCTTTTATTCTATTTGGTGCATTTATGGTTTCTGCACCTTGTATTGGAAATGTGGCTCATTGTTAAAATTTTTCAAGTTTATAAAATATTATTGTCTCAGATTCTCTGCAAATTTAGTTTTATATGCAAATATGCAATTTATTAGTATACCCATAGCACCAATGCAATTTGTGGTTTCTCCAAAAACTCTTTCAGCCATGTTAGTATTGTTCTTCATGTGTGTGTAGGCTGTATTTTTATTTAGAACACAAGAATATAAAAATCCTATAATTATCTGCAATGATTAGTTCCAGCTTACGGGTGGTAAGACAGACAGGTTCTTGTGGTAAATTAGAAGAGAACAGTTCAGCATACAGGACTTCCACCTCCGCCCTTCCATTCTGTAGGAAGTGACAGAGATGCTAAGAATGGCCATTTACTTTCCCTTAATCACAAAACAATGCCAAATGCATAAGGCAGAATTTAGCAGGTCACAGAGAAGGTTCTTACAGACAAGCATGGCTGTTGCTCTGGCTAAAGGAACGTGTGTGTGTGTGTGTGTGTGTGTGTGTGTGTTCAGAACACAGAGGGAATGTGTTCTGCCTATGGGAAGTATAATTTGAGTATACGGCTTAGCCTGTTAGCCACCAGTTTTAGGTTCTAGGAGGTTGGCTTCCCGTTTTGCCTTTTTTGGGGGGTACCGGGGATCGAACTCGGGTCCTTGCGCTTGCGGAGCAGGCGACAGAACCACTGAGCTAAATCCCTGGCCTGGTTTGCTTTTATCTAGGTTGACCAGTGACAACCATTTGTTGTCATTGCTCATTTAGAGGAGAGCCTTATTTTGGCAAAAGGACAACAACACAGAACAAGATGAGGACTTGGAAAGTGTGTCCTATCAGGAGGGTAACTAACTCCCTGAGAACAATCAGCAAGGACTTAACGTCATCACTGTCTAACAGACAGGACATCTAGCACCAGGAGCCTTAATAATGGGATGGAAGACAAGCGACTTTGTTCCACAGCAGATGTGGTAAGGGTGCTCTTCCAGGCTCCAGAGAACTCATTCATTTCATCAGTTGGTTTGTGGGTAGAAAAGACAGGAAGGAAGGAGGGCACCTTGTCCTCCCCGCTTCACTGCCCCTCATTTACCAGGCAGCCCAGGAGCTCCAGCTTCATCTCCAACAGCACCAGGCACTGCTTCCAGTGCTGTTCTCCTCCAGTGGATGGAGGAGTGCAAGCAGACCCTGGAAAACTTGGAGTCCACATTTCCAGAGGCAGCCGCACCTAAACCCAATGGATGTGGCCTTGTGTACTGTCAGCCTGTCCATCAGCAAACAGTCAGCGAGAGTTTACAGGTGCCAGACACTAGGCCAGGTGAATGCCCAGATGAGCACAATGTGATCCCTGCCCTGAAGGAACTCTGATGAGTGGGCGAGAGACCAGAGAACACTTAGAACAATGGAACATCACAGCTGTTCCTGAAGACACCTGGGCATGGCGTGCTGAGGGCCTGTTCTCCCCCTGGGCAAGGGGAAGCATAGGGATGACTTCCAAGGGGAGAATCTGGAAAGGTGAGATGGCTCAGCAAGGAAGTGGGCGGGTGGAAGAGCACTCCAAGCAGACACAGCAAGCGTGAAACCCATTTCTGCAGAATCTGTCTGCCTGGGCATGGCATCCATCCCATGGGAAGGTTTTGAGAACATCTAGACATCGCCCCTACTGAGTGGCCATGAACCCCTCCGGCCTCCCAGCAACATCAACCTTTGCCTTGCTGTGCCCAGCAAGAAAGATGGAGCATGGAAGCACCCAGGGCACAATAGAGCCCACAGGCCTGGGAATCCTTTCACACAGGGGCAAGTCTTCTGCATTCCTCATCTCTCCCTGGATTGCAGCACCTTGGGGAGCCAGCCCAGGGGGCCTCAGCAGAGTTTTCTAAAAGAAGAAACCCATGGCCATGGCCTCCTATGGAAATTGGGCTGCAGGGGCTGGGAAGGGGGAGTGCTGGTGCTTGGACACGGTTGTTGATGGACGCACCGGCACTAGCAAAGCTCATCTGCATGGTGCCTCGGGGTCTAATAGGCCCTTTCCTTCTCACGGGCACGCGCTGCTCTCCTGACTCTGCTAGGAGCTACCATAACACCGCCCACCATTCGGGTGAGAAGCTGGGTGCAGGTCATGAAGTGCTGTCCCTGGGACTTGTGACCCTCACTGCCCACCTCTTGACCCTCCTAACATGGCTCTTGACTCACAGGAAGGTGGGCAGCAGCCTCCTTTCCCGGAATAAGCCTCGCCTCAGCTTGTTTGTAAGGAGTCTGCTGCCCTGTTTCAGTCTGACTCTGATGCTCTGGGGCCAAATCCTGGGGATGGAGCTGTAGCAAAATGCCCTACTCTCCCCCACCAGCTTCATCAACTTGGCTCTTAAATAAGCTTGTGTGTGTGTGCATCTGAGCTGTTTTGTCTGTGCAACATTACCCTGGCAACCAGTGGGCGTCTTTGTGGCTTTCAGAGTGGTTTGTTCAGCAGAGGTATGTTAGTTTGCAAGGAAAATCATTGCTTGGAGCTCGGCCAGTGGGTGCTGGGAAGCCCCTGGGTTCTCCTTCACCCTTGAACTCAGCGCACTCTGAGATACTTACTTTGGAGCCTTGGATTAGAGCATGGTAGGGGGTGATTTTCTTTTTTAATCATCCTTATTTTAAGTGGTTTCGCTTTCTGTTCTTGATTAGTGTGGAGGGGTGCAAAGTTAGGGTGGACTGCCTGCCCTTGCAGCTAAAGGCCCAGGCTTCCTTCCGCTCCAGCTCATCCCAGGCCAGGGGCCTCCCAGCTCTGCCCTCTGGGCCCCTCCCGGGCTCTCTGGAGTCCTCCTGTCTTCTTCCCTTAGTACATCAGACTGAGGGCTGCCTATGCCTGGGAACCAGCCGGGGTCCTGCCTGACTTCCTCCTCTGCTCTTCTGCAGATTAGAGCTCATTATTTAACCTCTTGAAGCCTTGGGTTTCCTGTTCTATAAAGCAGGAGTGATGATAATCCTGACCTTCTAAAGTGTTTGTGAGGGCTAATGAACCAATGAAAGTGAGGATAATGGACAATAATAATTAAGATGCCAAAATGCAACTCAAGTCGACAGAGTGTTTGCCTTGTGCCAGGTGCTTCCCAGAGTGCTGTGCAAATGCCCACTTCATTTGTCCTCCCAGCAGCCTTCTGAGGCAGCTGATCTCATTATCTTCATTCGCTTGGCTTACGATCAGCTCTCAGAAAATGCCATGATGATGATGATGATGATGATGATGATGATGATGATGATGATGATGATGTTGATGGGATTTGCTTTTTAATGCTCGTGTCTTCAAGGACATAGATAGAACCCGGCAGTGTCCCTGCTGGCTTGGAGCGCAGCTCTGTTCATTGCCCTGTCTTCCCCAAGTCCCTGCGGAAGCTCCCCCGTTCCCAAGACAGTAGGAAGTAGGAATCTGCAGAGAAGGGCAGAGCAGTGGGCAGTGGTTTGCAAACTTCTATTCCAGGATGAGCATCCCCTGGTTTATCTCCAAATTAAAATCATATGTGACTCCCATGTGTGAATGCAGGAGGAGCTGAATTGCTGCTGCAGGAGGAGTAGGCGACTTGGGGGAAGGTCACCTTGAT